TTTTTTTTTTTTTTTTTTTTTTTTTTTTTTTTTTTTTTTCTTGTTGCCTTGAAGATCATTTCAGTTTCAATTTTTATTAATTTTGGAGTTTGAAGGATGTCAGCTGTTTTTATGAAGCCCTTTTTGGATGTACGGGGATGTTTATTTTGGTGGCTTGGAGTATTGAGCGGTTGGGCATACTTGAGTTGGTTCTCAGTTGTCAGATCTCTCAACTCCTTTTTGGAATATGACTTTAGATCTAATGTGCAGAAAGGATTGTTCTCATTTGTCAGATATCTTCCTTCCTCCATCAATCACTCTTGCTCAAAGCCTAGTGCTCATGGCCTTTCTTTAGATGTTTTGATTGGATAATTATTTTACGCTCATCGTTAAAACTAATTTAGTATTATTTGAATTGTTATTTATACATTCTTTATAATCCTTCTTAGTTGTTTCTTTCCATTCCTATGTAGAGTTTTGTATCTTTTGAGCATTAGTCTCTTTTCATTCTTTGAATGAAAAACTTTCGTTTTTGTTTCAGAAAAAAAAAAAAAAAACTTCATGTTGATTCGTGTATGTTTGTGTCTGTGCTTGTTTGAATGAGAAACAGATTTCACTAAAGAAAGGCCAAAAGGCCAATGAGACAAGAAGTCCCGTTACTAAGAAAGGGAACTAAACAAAACACCCCAATGAAGTTGATGAATGAAATTGAGTAACTACAAAAATCCATGTAAGGTATTCCAAGTAGGAAGCTTTAAACTGCATAAGATCACAAAACTCCCCGAAAAGACCTTTACTTACTTATCATTGAAGATCCCAACAAAACCTTAACTCTTCACTGAAGATCCCAAAAGATTTCTACGTTTCAATGAAGATTCTATAGTTTCTTTTCTTTCATAAGTGCTACCAATTGTGGGTCATATTGTTGGGAATGAACATGTGTATTTTTTCAGACAAGTCAGATAATTTCAAAATACTTGGAACAAAATTTGTTCTTTGATTTTGTTGACAAAAAACCAGTAAGTTTCAAGATTTTCTTTAATCAGAAACTTGAGGTATATGTTAAACAAAAAGAGGACAAGAAACACCCTAAGGGCCGGGGAAGAGAGCTCCCCCACCCAAGAAGGCTACTTACAAAAGGCCTTAAAATCGAGAAGGATCAAAGAATGAGGGAAATTACAAAAGAGTATAGGGTAGCTATGAGACTACCAAGATGCATTTAGCTGTACAAAAGCTTAAAAAGGATGAAAAAAACAGTAGCCTTTCTTAAAAAAATTTCTTATTCCGTTCCATCCATAAACCCCATAGAAGAAGGGCTCTAGAAGCAAGCTTCCATAAGTATTCAAAATTTGGCATTGGTTTTCCTTGAAATATTCAGACACATTAATTCTTTTAACAAGTACTTGTATTCTCCCCAAGGCATTTGTCATCTTATCTTATAATTATTTTTTTATTGACATATAACATTGATTTCAAAGAACATAACATCAAAAGATAATTTGTAGAATAACCTGCATCTTTCAAGGTCATCTGTTGAAGCACCAAAAGCAGGAATAATTTCTTGGACAGCGTTCAGAAAGTCATCCATTGTAACCTTAATGCTCTCTTCATCAACTGGTTTCGTAAGGTCATCAAGACTCAATTGTCTATTTAAGGCGTATGATACTGCACTTTTTACAACCCCTTCAATTTCAGCACCACTGTAGTTCTTTGTACGAGCAGCTGCAAATTAATTAAAATAGCTCAGAAACCTTCAAAATTGTTATCCTCAACCACGTATATCATGTGGTTAAACAAGACAGTAGCGAAACAATCAATAAAAACTTCAACATGGTAACTACCGTTGCCATTGTCACCTCCTACCGCAGTGTTCATGAAAAGGAAATCCACTCATTTTTTACTATTAAAGATCAACAACTCTTCTACTAGGATTTTTTTTTTTTTTTTTTTTTTTGTTCAACAATTG